TATGCAGTCTTAATAATTATTATAAACAAAATTAAAGACAAATTGCGGCATTACAAAGTTATTTTATTTATATGTAGGTAGGTAATGATAATATTTAAATTTTTAATTGAGTTGGTATACCTATATTCAAATTTGCTGGGCGAAACGATTTTCCTCCCCCTCACATCATCCCAACACGAACGGGTTGTGCTTATTAATTCTATGTAGGTACACTGCTAGTACCTATAATAAATTATAATAATATGTATGTTCAAAAAATATTTATAAATAATGAGACATTTTTCGTTCAAATGATATTTAAGGTACTCGTTTTTACCTTCCGGTGGTCAGTGTGAATAGTGAATATCGTAGTCAAAAAAATTTAGATTTTTAGAAGACTGCAGAGCATAGGCGCAAATAGGGGGGGGGGCTAGGGGGGCTTAGCCCCCCTAAGAATTGCTATAGCCCCCCAAAAACAAATGATTTTAGTATTTTACTATGCTTTACTAAAAGCATCATAAGAGTATTCAGTATCCTGAACTGAGCTACGGCTTCAGCCCCCCCAGATTTCAAACACTATTTGCGCCAATGCTGCAGAGTCCAGGTCGGTAGGGGTTGGGCCTACATAATAGTGTATTGTTACAAGTTCAAGGTGGCAACAATAAAGTATCCGACATTTCCACCAAGATGAGATACCAATGGGCAATCGGCAATGACACCTTGCTGATAAAATGCTAAAGCAGAGATATTGATCCGACTTGATTATAAGGTTTATGAGATAAGTAGGGCTGTAGGAGGATGTTTATAAATCTCTAAGAAAATCACCATTTGACAGTTTCCATTTTTTATCTACCGACCAAAAAACCTGTCAATCCGTAAACGTTACAAATCACAATAATACAATATAATAAATATCAATAAACGTACACTTACAATTAAATGCTCATAATAATTTGTACACAATTAAAATAACAAAAAGCCTATAGGTATAGAGGCCCGGAATTAACATTTAAATAGGTAGGTAGTTAAGACATTATTACACAGTAGGTACTACAGTAGTGTTTTATTTTCCGTAGGTACAGGTTCTTAATAATGAAAACAATATCATTATACCTAGTACAATAAAAGACGAGCTTCAAATGAGTTAGTTCACTCATTCACTGTAAATATATATTTAAACAGAAAATAGGAAACGAATATTATTTCTCCCAGCCGAACACCAACGTTAATGGATAAAAGTTTGGAGCAGTGCCGTAGACGGGAATTTTATATGAGGGGGGGGGGGTTATTATAATAATAACATGTTTAGATGATAAACAAAATACCTTACTTATAACCGATAACAACACAAACATCTATTACTATTATTGATAAAAATTAAAAAAAAAATTTATTAGTAGTTTTAAATATTTGAAACTACCTACTAATATATTTTTTTTAAATTTTTATAGGCTATATACTATGTAGTTTAAGCTGAAGATAATAATGAATCGGCCGAGATTGTTTTACAAAATAGTATAAATACCTATTAGTTTTAATTATTTTTAAAACACTTCTAATTTAATTTATTATTGAATATTTAAATATTTGTATTCAAGATTTTGTACTGGTATTGTATATTTCACAATATTGACATGTTTCTATCTACACTTAAGAGGACGTCGTACCAGAATGTGTAGTTGTCTCCGTCTTACAACACACGTACAATTTTCGCTCACAAGTTTCAATATTGTGCAGTTAGTTTTGATATTATAGTGAACTGACCCATTATACAATTTTAAGGTAGTATTATTATCTAGGGTCCCACGTAGGCTTTTGATATTATTGTTAGTTAAGTTATGACTTTAAAATAATCATAACTTACTTAAAAATGAAAGTATCAATAAAAGCTTAATCTTAATAATCTTACCTTTAAATTTTATATTGGGTCACTTCACTTCAATATAAAAACACAGCACATTGTTGAAACTGGTGAAAGATTAATTGATAAGTCGTATGAGTGTAAGATACACGGGTACGAAGTCCTCTTAATACATTTTTATTGGTTTAAATATTTAATTTTTTTAGGCACACCCAGGCACACCCAGGCACGGCAGACACCCTTTAGGAAATCGTAATTTTTTTAGGAAGTCAGATTGTAATGAATGATTTACCATTGTTCCTAATTTAAAATAACAATAGAAACTACAACTCGTCTTGGGCTGAGGTATGCTACAAATTGATTTGAGTATCCAATGACCAATATTCAGTCTCTGTACGTGACATCTGTGGTGTATTTTTCAGTACCCATGTCAATTGTCAGCCACCTGGTCTGCTGCCTTTACATTTAGCTCTATATTATATTACTACAACTTTATGTACATTAAACTTGTACGATTGTACAAATTTAGTTGAAGCTTTATTATTAATAAATTATAACTGCTGAATTGTTGGCAATATCCATGTTATATTATTATATTAATTTCCAGCAAATCATCTGTTAGTGAATATCACAGTTCAGCAGACAATTAAATCATAAGTAAACTATAATTGGACTGTGAACTAAACACTGTAAATGTAATGTATTCAACCATTTATTACAATTAGGTATTGTTAAAAAAATTAACAGCATGATAATCATCTAAACTGATTTACGTTATTATCTAGGTATTATGCATGAAAAAACATTAAAAATAAAGAGTAATAAATCTTTCAAAAGAATATTCTTTTTTTTAGACTAATAACTAAATTTATCTAAATTTACATAGTATTATAGTAATATAATAACTATTTGTTTTTAGACATTCTGGTACCTAATACTATTCTGTTAGTGAAGATACTTAATCACAAGAAATATTAATAATTATATACAGTGCATGACCAATAAACGATTGTACTAAAATATTTAAGCTGAATTGTAAGATTTAGCCTAATATTCACACAATTTGTCACTATGGGTAAACCAAAATTTATTTTTGTTTTGATGTTAATAATTTGGGTACAGGTAAATTCAATATTTTAAACATATATTAACATTTCAAAACTGATCTTGATTTCAGTACTTTTTATATTTATTTGATAAGTTAATAACATGGAAATTAAAAATTGTAATCGTAGTGGTACACAGAACAAATAATTTGAATTAAAGTAACAAAATAAATAACTAATTTAAAAATAATATAAAATAATAATTAGTAATAATATATATAATATGTATATATAAAAAAAATGGAATCCTTATAAAGATATAAGTTTTTTAGAGTCTTGTAAAATTGTAATAGCTTAAAATGAATACGCAGTAGTCTATTTTGTATATATTATATATAATATACATTATTATCATTTATTAGCATATTATGCAAAATGTAATATAAATCATAATAAATTATTAATGAACGAATTAATTTTCCACAATTTCAATTAATAAACAAACATTTTTAACTGGTCCCAAATTAATTTATTTTATACATTTTGCTAATTAACAGTTACAATTAGAAATAATTCGCATCAGATCTATGATCATAATAAGCTATTTAAGGTATAAAGGATAGTAATGTATTCTTAAATATAATAGACTTTAATAAAGAAGAAATACAAATGTTCAATTAGTAATAAAAAATATAAATTTAAAATGCAATAAAACATCATTTATTTATGAAAGTAATGACTACATTCTTTTAAGTCATAAACATGGGGTTGAAAAATAAAAGTAACTATCTTTTTTACACAAGATATATCATTTATTTAGAAATTACAAGGTTAAAATAAAAAGAAAAAATGAATATCGTACAAAAAAAAAAAACACATGACTATATAAATAAATATCATGCGTCTAGTAGGTCCAACAACATTTTATAAAGAAACTCAGTAAAAAATAACATTAAAATTCTGATTTTTTAGACATAACAAATATTACAAAAATGATACTATAGGTTTTGTTGCTTTTGTACATATTTCATATAATTTCTATATACACAATATTTTATACTCTATACCACTGGAAAATGCATTTATGTCAGTTATACATGATAAATAATTGAGAATAATAATAAGCACACGGTGCTTATCTTGTAAATCCATAAAGCTTAAGACATAAATAAATAATTTTTTGATTACAGCCTAACTTAAAATAACCATGCTACTATTGAACTGTAACAATATTACATCACTTAGCTTATATTTTTACAATTGAGAATAAATTGCCAACATTACCCAATTTATCATGTAACTATAAGGCATTCAAAACGAATGATGGTATTTTGTAGATTTTATTTTTTATGTTAATTATAAATTATTAGCATACACAGTACATAATTTGTGGCAATGTCATTAGAGAGTAAAAAAAAATTATAGTGATATTAAAAGATACAGAAAGTAAGTAGCACCAAGCAACTTAATAGAAAATAATTGTAAAATAATAAAAAAAAAAAAAATTCACAATGAAAATTGATTTGTATTAATTTACAATTAGAGAATTAATTAACTTATGGATTATTTAAATATATATATATTATTATTTTTTATAAAAATGATTAAGCTATATAGATTACATGATTAGACTATAAAATTAGGCCATAAGTTTGTTCAACAGCATTATAGGTCCCTAGTTAATATATAAATTTCTTATCATACTTTATATTACATAATTTAATTATTATGTGCGCTCTATTATTTTGCAGGAAGAACTTTTGTTTTTTGTTAGTTGTTATACACCAACAAAATGTGTATCGATCGGTGAACTGACAGTTATCAGTCTTGGGCAATCCTCCATTTGGATTTAAAGTCCCTATATATTTCATAAATATATAAAATAAGCCTCAATTTTAAATACCAGAAATATTATTAAGTGAACATTTTTTTAAGATATTATAACCAGTATTTTTTTTGTTATAATATGTATTTCAATTATTAATGTCTAATATAATATTTTAAAGAGATAAATTAAAAGATTATAACCTAACAGTATAAATTAAATGCGCAATTAGAAAATTAAGATTTTAAGATAATAAATTAACTCACCAGTGACAACATAGTCATGATTGTTAAATTATTGTGCATTTACGTTTAGGCTTAACTGGCAGTACAGGACATAAAACTGCTCTAATGGCTTCATCAAATACAATTTTTAGACCTTTTTGAGTCAAAGCACTACATTCCAAGTATTTCACTGCTCCAATTTCTTTGGCCATTGATAAACCCTAAAAATAAATATTTAATAAAATAATTAGGTAATTTAGAATGTTATTAATATGAATATGTACCTGTGGATATGTAATAGCAGTTAACTTTTTTTCTTTTAGTTTATCAATTGTTTCTTTATCTTCTCGTAAATCAAGTTTAGTACCAACTAAAATAATTGGAGTACTTGGACAATGGTGTCGAACTTCAGGATACCACTAAAAATATGTATTCATTTAATAATATATATATATCAAAGAGTAACTTTGATTATTATTTTACCTTCGCCCGCACATTTTCAAATGATGCAGGATTTACTAGTGAAAAACATATAAGAAACACATCCTGTTAAAAAAAAAAAAATACTGATTATAAATATGTAAAATTTCAAAACAACATTCATCATATTTTGTTATGTATTAGAAAAAAATATCATAAGATAACTGGAAAATAAACATACCGTTTGTGGATATGAAAGAGGCCTAAGCCTATCATAATCTTCTTGACCAGCAGTATCCCACAATCCTAAGTTTATAGGTTTCCCATCAACCATAACATTGGCCGAATAGTTGTCAAATCTAAAATAAAATAATGTTAGTTATAATACGTGTTTGAAATAAAATGTACAAAAATGTATTTAAATTTGAAAATAAAACAGAGTAACAGAATTAAATTTAGTTAAGGGGTAATAAATATCTTGAAAAATTGTCAATAAGTATTTGTTGAAAACTTCAGAAATTCAATGTATTTATACATTTCGTAAAGAGATTTCTTTTAAAATAAAAGATTAACAGAAAATACAAATTCGATGAATTGATTAATTATAATTTATCAATTTAAATATAAATACCATATGTCCATGTACCTATTAAACTTTTAAATGATAAAAACATAAGATCAGTAAGAAAAGTTGTTTAAACATGTATTCTAATTAGTTAAACTGTCATTATCAAGTAAGTAGATAGTTAATTTTAATTTTTTAACAAATTATCATAAAGACAGGTTACAATATACATATATTATAATTATTATTATAACCATGTAAATGTGTACTCCATGGAACAAACATAAGCATAAAATGATGAATTTTAATACCATATATTCAGGTCATATAATAATATTTCAAGTACTTAAAAGTTTATTATCTACTGGTTACAACCAATATAATTATAATTTTATCAAAAATAACCAATTCACCTTATTGATCACACATAAAATATATAACAAAACACCTGTAGGATTAATTAAAAGTTTCAAGTTACTTACACAGTGGGTATGTATTCTCCAGGAAATGCATTGCTGGTATAACTAATGAGTAAACATGTTTTACCAACCGCTCTGTAAAAAGAACAAAATAATAATGTACAGAACTGAAACGTTCTTAGTGAAGTTAGAAACGCAACTATGTGAATATATATATTTAGTTTAAAAAAAAAATTAAAATATTGACATAGGTATATTTGTGTAAAAATCAAACAGGTGTGCAAGGCGTTGTTTAATACAAAGCATTCTTGACGGATGGAAAAAAAGAACTTTAAAATAACTGACAAAACATTGTATATTTTGAGATAGAGCGGATAAATAGGTAGGAAATAAGGTAAAAGCCAAATGAGGGTGATCTTTGACTGACGATAAGATCTATGATTGATTACATGGATGGACTCATCTGTCAATAGGTTTGCATCAAATTCTACGACCAGATACAGCAGTATATGATGATGGTTCTCAATAACTACAACACATCAATAGTTGAACACAGAACCCTCATCAAACAAATCAAAAACTATCGAGATAACGGGGACTGGTGTACATGAGACAGTCGTTGGGCGTACTGACAGGGACGGTACCAGTTGGCAGAAGATGGTAGTCTTTTTTTTCACACACAACACAGACAAACACACACATACAAATATATATATGCACAATAGAAGTATCGTTATGTAGCTATTACGTTGTAAGACTTACCCATCGCCGACTACGACACACTTGATGGCTTGCATTTTGCGCGGCCGACCCGAAACCGAACACTACCTACCGGGAAATCGCGGTGCACGTTGTTTGGTGATCGTTTAACATGTACAGATCGTTTTTATTAGCCGCCAAATGGTTTTTATTGATGTGGGAACCAAACATTGGAAAATATCAAAACTGGTGGCCGCCGTCGTCGTCGGACGTCGTGATTTCGGGGCTTAGCAAGTGCAAGGACATTCCAGTGATTCCACCCACGGTAAATAAAATAATTAAAAAAAAAACATAAAAAAACCATTTCCCATGGAAGAAACGTCATGGCGGAAACGGTCGCCTGTCCGTTTGTCAGGGCGCGTTTGGCTATCACAATTCAGATTCCTCGTGTCCAGCCTCCAACCACCTTCGACCACCCCAAATCAAACCCATCTCAAATTGTATTTTTGTTTTATTTTTATCGTTTTTGAACAAATTGTAGTATGAAAAATTTTAAAAAATATTTTGTCCATCAGCTGTTCGATTGATGGGCCAGGCGGCCAGCCGCTTCGTCGAAAGTAAAAGTTGTCCCGCACATCTGTTATCAAACTCCTAATCAGCGAGTACGTTTCGCACGCCCGCGCGCCATAACCCGTTTCCACCACCGCGATTAGGAATGTTATTGTTTTGGATTTGATATTATTCATTCTTACAAGTTACAACGCAGTGTCTCGGATCACGGTCCGATGGTCCATACGTAACAATAATGGTATGATTTTCGACGTTGTATAATAATAATAATGTGTCATTAATATCATTGTTGTACAAAATAAATTATTCACGTTTGTCGATCTATTTACACCACGATACGTTTTTATCGAGATGATTGAATCGCTCAATGATCTGCACCAATGTTGAACACCACCGAATAATTACACAATTGGGAATTAATTGTAGACACTCAAACGCCAAATAATGTTTCGTTCAAAAAAATTGGTAAAACCTGATAATCTCCACTCGTTAGAGTACCTCAAGTAATTTCTATGGTCTACAACACCACAAGTACCTGTTAAAGATATTGTCGTTTATGTGTAATTTTGCTTACAGATATATCTATACAGTATTAAGCAAAAATCAAAATGTTGTGGACACCAATCGCACATTGTTAGTTGAATCATTCAGGAGTATGGCCGAAATTTTGATCTGGGGAGATCAAAATAGTCCAGCAGTATTTGAGTAATTAAATGCTTATTTTAGTATTGAAACTTGTACACAGATAACTAGTGTCTAGATCCTTTATATTATAAACTGAATAATACATATAATTAAGTAGTTATTAAGTTTATACTACAGAGTAATTAATCAATTTAACTACAAGGAAACCACTAAAATAATAACATACCAGCTATTGTTATTTTTTATTTTGTCCATTTTTAATGACTAATAATTAGGTTGTTGACAAAATTTTGTCATTTGAGAAAATTTACTTTTGTTTTAAATCATTTAAACCTATAATTGTTTTACAAATATAGTGAATAATGACACATAGTAGACAGTATACACCCAAACAATAATGATGACCTATAAATTACTTTTTAACCCAAATGTTATAATCATCATATTATCCAAATTAATAGATTCCATTGTAACATAGTTCAAAATATCATATTATTTATTATTATTTTTATTGTTATTAGTAGTCTTTGTAAATAAAATTTCAGATAATATATTCTCTTTTGAATTTATAATCACTAAAGCACGGTTTACTTATAAATGGCAACATTAATACATAATTCATGGAGTTCTATGATATATTTTGATCATAACATTATCTATTCAATGTTATAACTTATTATGCAGTTTGTCAACTAAATATAATCAGGCCTGGCTCAAGAGGTAGGTGACTTAGCCCCATGTCTAGACCAGCACTTTAGTAGGAAGGTAGCATTTTCAAAATAGTGATAATATAATTATTTTAGGGGCAGTAAAATTTTATTTCCGATAACACACTATATTTGCTTGAGCCAGCCCTGAATATAATCCTATTTTTTATAATATTTTAGTTATTATTATTAAATATTAATCACATTTTTAGTTTTGTCAAATGTGAAACACTACAGCTAAATGTAATACATTACCACAGAAAAGTTAACCAACAAGATAAATAAATGAATGTTAAATTGTATTAAGTTAAGCAGAATATTTTATTATATAATTCTAATACAAGAATTATGTGTTAAAATCATTTTAAATACTTGGCCTTGCTATAAAACTATTTGACCTTTAAAATAAACTATGCAAATTAAGAAAAAAATATCAACTTGGTAATGCTATTGCATGAATGACATTGACTTTACAACATATTTAAAAATTATGAAACCCTATTAATTTTACTTACTTTCTTATTAATATAATTAGTATAAAATATTTAACAGTTCAGTTATATAATGTATTAGAATGAGTATGGTACAAGACAAATTAAAATACAATGAAAACTTTATTTAATATTTTCTAATGGGTTTTTTATACACCTAGCAGATAATATTATTTATCTGTGTTTAATTAAATAATGTAGGTACCATTTGTATTTTAATGAAATTAGTCAGATTTATTTTAAAACAAATAACAAAAAGCTGATTTTTATGTAATATTGTAAGTTTTAATTTTAAAAATGTAAGTTTAAAAAATATCTTTATTTATATTTATGGACAATTATTATACATATTATAGGTACTTCTTGGAAAATAATATGTTCAATTACTTTCTGCATATCTTGAATCAGAAATGTGGAAATTATGTCTGTGTTCAATTGCTTCAAACACTGAATATTATATTTGAAAATATTAAAAATAAGACTGCTTTATGTAAGTGTTAATTTTAAATCCATAATTTTTCTTTTAATAAACCATACAATTAAACCAATAATATTTTATTTTTATTTCTAGATTATTTACTAAGCAATAACCATGTTAATAGTATAATAATAAATAAGCTGGATTTCTCTGATGAAGATGTTTTAGCTTATTACATATCTTTTTTAAAAACATTATCTTTTAAACTGAATTTAAACACCATTCACTTTTTCTATAATGAGGTAATATAGTCTATTTATAAGTTTAACAATTTGTTAATCCTAATTTTTATTTTTATTTATTACTCATAGACTACCAATGATTTTCCTCTTTATACAGAAGCAATTAAGTTTTTTAACCATCCTGATTCTATGGTACGTACATATGTTCGTACATTGACACTTAATGTTTACAGAGTTGAAGATGAAAGCATGTTACGATTCATCAGAGATAAAACTTGTGCTCCATATTTTGGAAACTTGGTTTGGTTTATGGGTAAACACGTTTTAGAATTAGATGCTAGTGCAAGAGCTAAGCCAATTGATGTCGACACTCAAAAAAATATACAGTAAGTTAATTTTCAATATTTGATACTTTATAAAGTTCTCTTGATAACAAACATTATTTTGTCCTTAGAGATCAGTATAGAGTTAAACTTGCAGATCTTGTCAGTTCTCATCTAGACGATTTACATTATTTGAATGATATTTTAAGCTCGAAGGTTGATATGTTAAATGAAGTGCTTGTTGATCATTTAATGGATAAACTGTTTGTACCTTATTATATTCATTCATTAGCACCACCAGACAAATATATTATTGTCGAAACAGAAGAGGTAAATAAAAGTTGTATAAATATCTAAGAACATTAAATGTTATATATTTTATTAAAATATCACATTAATTTGAATTACTTATGTAGTTTGTAGATGCTGTGAAACAACAACCATTGATGAATAGTGATATATGTTTATTTTTACTAACACAAGTGTTTTTAATTATTCATCAGACTAAATTAGTTACACCATTAGCTAAATATTTATTGGAAAGCAATTTTTCTGCAAAAAACAAAGTAGCTTTTAAATTTTTAATTATTGAAAATACAATTACTTTCTATATAAATATTATAAATATAAATATATTTTTGCTTAGATTGCTGAAGAAACTAAATTACAAAATGAAGTATCAGTGTTACCAGAAAAAGAAAATGAAGAAAAAACAGATATTGAATCAACTGATGCTTTTAATCTCAAATCATTAACATGTATGAACATTACAGATGAAGAAAAAGAAATACTTTTATCAAAAAATGAAGGTAATTTTAATTCTTCTCTTCTTCCTTTTCTCCACCCTTCGCTCCCTTTAATATGGAATCAGCCATATTTGTCCTGTACCTACATATGATTTTAAACACCTTTACACACTAATCCCAACAGCTATATTTGTATCATTCTCTATACTGCCTATCCATCTCTCCGCTGATATTCCTTTCCCTCTCTTTACTCTTGCATTTATTTACTCTTAGACTAATTAAAAATATAATATTTTGATTTGATTTTTAATTAATTTTCTTAGCTGATTGTGTACATAGTCGGTGTTTAGAATCTATATATAGCCAATTGATAATTGAAAAATCTGACAGCTCTGCATTGTTTGGTGTATGCCTATTGTATGCTATATCAGAAAATTCAAGTCTTTCCAAGGAGTATTATGAAGGATTTTTAACTCCCATTAAAAGTGAAAATAGTGCTTCTCTTGTTCATTGTGATGAAAGAAATGAACTTATAGATAAGCTAGTTGACATAATTACAGCTGCATCTGAACCTGGTATGTGATCCAAACTAATAAGTACATTTATAAATTTACTACCTTTACTTTTTAGTTTGTTATGTACGTTCAGTTACATTACAAATGGCCATAACATTACTGAAAAAATTAACAATTCATGAGGAAAAGGTATTTATATCAGACAGACATATTGCTGTTATTCTTAACGCTAAAGAAAAGATTTTACCACTTCTTAGACAATTTTTTAAAGTAAGCATAGTAGTACCAATATTATATTTATTTAAAATTAAAATTGTAAAGGAAAATAATTAAGTTTTTGTTTTACAGAAAGAAGAAATGTTTTTAGAACTGTTTGAAGATGAATATAATGAAATGCATAAGGAGATACTAAATGTTCAGCGACTTTTAAGTGATTCCACATTATTACTTCCGCCTGCACATTCTCCTATGACAGGAATACCACTTTCAAAACGTTTACCATGTGGAGATGTACCTACTATCTTAATTTTAACTTTTATTTTGAAAATAATTTAAATAATTATAATATTAGTATTTAAATTAATTTATAATTTACTCAGATCTATTATGTAAATTAATTGTTTGAAGTTATTTTATCATTATATTTAAATTATTTAAAATATTATAAAATTTCTTATATAACTTACTTAAATAGTAAATACTCTAAACAACAAATAACAATAATATATTTTATTATTTATTAGGTTGAAAGAACGAGACATTTTATCTGTGCTTTTCTTAATATACGCAAGTTATTAATGACATTTGAAGAAAAAGAAGAAACACAATTACCTTTAGTTGATAGAACTAAGTGTTTCGTATTTGATACTCCAATCAACTTGAGTAAGGAACTGTAAATAATAAATATATACTATATAGATATTTAACATAATACAAACTGTTTGGATTTTGGGAAAAAAATAGCGGTGGTACCTATTTCAGACTTCATTTTTATGTAATACTATTTGAAATTGACATCATCATCACTGATAACTATAGAAAATAATATTGTGTAGTATTAACAGTTAATTTCATAGGTATGTAGAATGTTATGCAATTGACGAAAACACAAATTATAATATGACTTTGTCTGGGTTGCCTGTTTTGGAATGGCCAAAGCTTGGATACTTGTTTGTGGTGAAGTTGATAATTGGATTTTATTGCCATTTTAACGCCCTACTAATATACTTTATATTGTATTCAAAATACATTAACTTAATCATGTTTGTATACATTTTAAAATAACATTTAAGTTCAAACATAAATATCAAAATAAAATGTTTTTTCAATTCTGTCAAGAATAATTGCTTAATATTAGTAATTTTAAAATTTGTATGGAATGTTGACATCATCTTACCAACTCAGTGCACACTTATCAAATTATTTTCTATTCAAAATTCTATGTTTACATATTTTAAATTTTAGATGGCAATGATTTAATTACTTGTATGATAATTGCTGAAAATGGTGCAAAAACAAGACGGTATCTATCAATCATTAGTAGCCAATTAGTACTAGTTGAGCCACATAGTCGTTTCCTCGGTTGGGGTGTATGCAAATTGTCTTGTTATCTTCATGATGCTGAAGTAAAAGCTAAAATATTTTTATAATAATTTAAAAAAAATAATATGATTATACTCTTTTAGGTTACTAAAATTGACAACGAAACAAAAACTTTGCACATTACTATGCATGATACAAAGTATAAAACTACAAACACAGTGAAATTAATTTTTGATGATCATATTCGATGCAATGCAGCAAGACAAAAGTAACATTTTATATTTAAATTTTATTACCTAGTAAAATAACTGAGTACTAAAATAATATTTTTGTTTTCAATTGGTCAATTTAATTATATCTAGGTTATTGAATGGTCGAATTAAAGCAAGAAGAAAACAACTTAATCAAATTGCAAATTTATTAGAGATGACTAGTTGTGAAACAAATTATGCTCCATGTAATAATACCCTAAAACAAAGTTGGTGTATATTTTTATTTATTTTAAGTATTTTTTGCTGATTGTACAACTTTTATTTAGAACATAATCTAAGAAGTCACTTCGCTGATGTTGCAGTGCATACGTCTAATGTGATTATGCCATGTCCTATTTCTATGAGATCTATAAATAGTAAAGAAAAATCATTTTTAAATTTGTGTACATTTTAAAGTAAAAATGTTTGATTATTTAGGTGATGAATGTAGTGCAGAATCAAATTGCAGTAGTGTGACACACTCCAGGGACCAATCACCTTGCTTGACAAGCATAAATAATCCAGAATGTTCCAACTCTCAAAAGGTATGTACATATATAATTTCAGTGTAATAAATTATGTTTACAATTATTATTATCTCAATATATTGTTTTCCTGATAGCCGTCTTCTTTAGCTCAGTGTCAAGAGAAAACAGAACCAAAACGAAAAGGAAGGGTAGAAAATGTTTAAAATGTACTAACAAACTGATAAACCTAACAATTTGAATGAGCCAAAACACTTAGCAATACCGCTGTTTCTCATTTTGAAAAAGTGCATCTACTAACTTTTAACTGAGTGTTATGACTTATGAATATCAGTAAATTATTCATAAATTTGGTCTGGTGATTATTTTGTGATAAAATATTATTTCATATTTTATATTGTTGATGTTTTTTGTTACCATTTTTTTGTTATTTATTTAACATAATTTGATATACTAGGGATACATAGTATTAATTGTTGTTGATTTATCTCTCTTTAACTGTACAACTATACATATTTTTTTAATAAATGCTCAACATTTTAATATAATGTAAAAAATCCTTCTACCATTATTTTGATTATAAAATAGTTAATATTGTTTTGTTGATGTGTTTTTTTTATAATTTATTTGAAAAATGTTTCAAGGTAAATAAATATAACTGTTTCAGAAAATAAGACTGCTAATTTCAGATCTATGTATACCTCAACAATAGAATATATAATACACTAAAAAAAGTATTAAGTTAAATAAATTGAAAATAATATGTACAATGCACATTTTTGTTAATTAATTAGTGTTAATTTAAATAAATCATTTTTAATCATTGAATAAACAAAAAGGTAGTATTGTTGTACTTTAGTTAAATTAAGTTAATGTATGTATAATTTATACAGTATGGACTAATATTGGGGAAGCAGATTAACAAAACGCGCTCTAGTGGAAACAATTTGTACCTTCTGATTCGGGATGTATAGATATAGTTTTATATTGGTTATTTTACTTTTTATAATGAATTAATTTTGTTATCGAAACTTTATACGCTTTTATAGATAACTGTATACGCTGGTAAGAACAATTTCTACTAATATTATCAAATACATTCAAATACACTTCACTTAAAGCAAAATTTATGTGAAATGTCAGGAAAATACATAGAGTCTTCCGACTCCACGTAATTGTCTCCAAATATGGTATAAAAGATCGGACAACAAATATTAATATTTTGCACAAGTCCCAATGATAATTGTTGGAGTAAAATAGCGTAACTAATTTGATTTTTTTTTTATGCTTGACAAAATAGTTATTAGTTATTTCTTAATTGATTCATAATATCCAAAAAGTATTAAACTACCATTTATTAATATTTCTCACTTCCTGACAATACAAGGGAAATAAAAACATAAAGATGATTGAATACATTTAAAGTTACCTAGAACATGTTACTTAATATGTATAGTAATTTTTATTTTATATTTTCAATTTGTGAATATTCCAATTCATTCATTTTAGTTTTTTCTATCTTACTAACGCAGGGATTGTCTCGAATATAATATCTTAAAAATTTATCTTGCCACTTTTTTTCACATTTAATACCTATTCTTGGCGAGCAAACAATTGTGTCAATTGATTTACTATTTTCATCTTCTTCTACCCACATTCCATCCCATGAAGTCAGATCTTGTTTATTACAAGATTTTATATCAATCGCAAAACTTATACATAACTTTGCAGGGCCGTTGCATAAATCTTTATTCGCAATCACTGTTTTTGTGGATTTTTTAAATTGTTTTCGTAGAGATGCCATAGTGTCTAAATTATCCAAAGGCTCTATCGACCTTAAAAAAACTGAAGCACCATCTCCTATCAAGATAAAACAGGATTAATTTGAATCAATAATGTGGTTGGAATACCTAACGTAATAACTAACAATACCTTTGCTTGAAATATTGAAGCAATGGTACATTCCATATGTCATATAAACAAAAGCTGTTCCGGGTTTCATGAACACAGGTTCATTTCGAGGTGTAACTTTTCCCTTGTAGGATATGGAAGCAGCATCTTCATGGCCTAGATAGCTTTCGGTTTCAACAATCCTACCCCTAACAACGGTACCATCATCTAGTCGTCTGACAAGTACTTTTCCCAGTAAACTCATAGCCAATTCTTCACACGGTGTTTCGTAAAACTGCGCATCCAATCGTTTCCTGTATTGTACCGGTACTTCTGAAGTGAAGTATTCAGAATCACTCTGATCGTCTATAGACATGGTTTAAAAATGTTGTTTCCCACCTAATCATAATAAAGAGTTATATTTTGTTTAAAAGTAGGTAATATTTATAATTAATAATATTGCTTGTTTACTTGATGCAAATTGTTATAATATAGATAAACCGTTAAATATTTGTTTTTCTTGGTAAACAATAATAATAATTATTGGTTTACTTAATTAATATTAGAAATTCCGAGAGAAATTCAATAAATTATAGAGTTATTAATTAGTGTACAGTTTGATAACAAAAATCATGAAATAATTTAATAATGAATAATATTTAAAAATATTTATCACAAACGATTAACGACATTCCGATTTCCGAGTAATAGGATAAGTGTTATCACAACTGTCACAACAGCGGAATATTTATTCTGTGCCATGGTCTATAGAAGATAATGCTGCACGGTGGGTCACCGCCCACCGGTCGGCGGTCACAGTATTACGTCCCGCCGTATCGCTCGAAGTTACGACAACGCGTTTATTTTATACATGACAAAATAGATCTATTTTGTCATGATTTTATAGACCTATTATTCTGTGTTTCATAACCGTAATTGGGAATAATATAATATTTGGGGATATACCGTGCCCCTGCTGGACCCCCCTTAATCTGGGCTTGGATAGCAGGGCCGTGGATTGGAATGCGATGTCCATTAGGACAGATTATATTAAGCCAGACGTAGCACTCCGACTCCCTACTCCCTAGTCCCTACTCTGCATTTCGGCTTGTAATTTATTTTATGTAATTCTCTTTTCTCATGGTTAGCACGATCCAGCAGTGATGTAAACTTGAAAAAACATCGTAAATTATTTGCAGTGATGCCCTCGTTACCACTCGCCGCTCACTGCACTCGGACAAAAAACACGAAAATATCCCTTTACCACCTACACCACCTAAAGGCTAAAGTTACTATGTATGGGATCTCGATGGCGGATGGTTCCTACTCACGGACTACTCGTTCGTTTGCCGTGCTTGCACTGCTGCCTAATTCGTTGCTCCAGTCGAATAGAATTGACAACTATTATTATTTTTTGTATTAATAATCTAATCCGTCCCGACTCTGTGTCAGGAATTAAGATAAACTGGATACGGGACGCAGTGCCTTATCAACTCATATTTCGTGGCAATGACTTCTTACGTTACGGCTAGACCGCTAGCGCTTTATAGGATTGTTCTGTGTTAACCGGGAGAATGAGGGACTAATAAATAAATAGTTCATTATTCTCCCGGTTAACACAACAATCCTATAAAGCGTTGTGTGCCATGCCAAAGTCTAAGAAGGTTTGACTATCAACTCATAGCGCCAGTTCCGTATCCAGTATATCTTAATTCGTGATCTGTGTACAAAGTACAAACGATCGAACGTTGGCCGGGCTCTTCATTCATGGGCAAGTTCGAGAATCAATTAATGAAGTGCATATTGTGCGGAGGCACGGATCACTTGTGCCGTTCGTCGAGCAAGTGCGCGCACTACATACCGCACCAGAAGAAAGTTTTTTTTAACTGATGGCGATGATTCTTACGACACAAAAACGGTGACTAATTTGCGCAAGTTCTGCGAGAACCCCGAGCTGTTGGAACTTATCAAAGACGACGTTACCGAACTGTCGGCCTTGGCCTTGGAGGCGTCTCTGTACGTTCATTTGTATTATACGAATCAATTGCATCGGACGTGCATTCTTTTCCCCTTGAGCCTTTGAGCTTAAAGATGCTCACAGAGTTCTACAGTCACTTACAGTTTAAGAAATTTCTACAGGGAAGACGAGTTCTTCTCGATGCGCAAGGCCAAGATGCCGGGACGCTGCCCTGTGTACTACGACGGGAAGAATTGCAACTTTTTGATACAAAATATCATCAAACAACACATGACCGCTATTAAAAACTGCGTGAACGTACACATGAACGGGTGGTACGGTACTTTGTCGCTAAATACAAGGACACTGTGGCCAAATGGAAGTAGAAGAAGATTGTGTACGAGCAGCTGTTCGGCCGCCATTCGAATGTCGAGCAATTGGACGACAAAGTACGAGAGTTTGTGGACGAGTCCGGCATTGACAGAGACTTTTTCAAATACAACAGCGACAAGGATTAGTGGTCGAGAATACCTTTTCTACACAAACTTTGTGTGTGGTTCGCTGCAAACGGACTCGAGACTTTTGCCATTTTCAGGTGTTCAGACTCAGCCTTAAGCACCTGCAATATAACGGCATAGCGCTGTACGAGTTTTTGCGTGCCACCAATAAATTGGAACATTCGGACCCCTTACACTTCCGCTCTCAACCACCTCGGTACTGGTGGAAGTACTTCAATCTTAAAAAAAAAATCGCGTTTACGGGCTACTGGATCCCGTCACGAACGATATCGTGCCGCACAAGAGTCGCACGTTGTTTGGCATGTCGTTCACCACTCTTGCGTCTCGGTGCAAAAAAAAACTACAAAATACACTACAATCCAACCAACAGCAAAATCTTATACCGGTTGTTTACCTTGGACTAGATCCGGGAGTTAGTTGTCAACTATGTGGGTGCCTGTTATTTAGAACGAGGGCGGTGCGATAGAAACTTCTTGTTAAAATCAGCGACGTTGAAACAGGCACACTATACCGAACGAGATATTAGGAGACAATAATATATAATTAGGGATTACGAGAAAACTCTGTTGGACGAGCACAAGTGGTCACCCGACATAACTGCCAAGTACACCGTACACTTCAAGCACAACAGGGACTACACGGCACAAAGGTTGAAGCACCATTATGAAAATCAGCGTTGGTAAGGAGAGACGAGTCTGCTGGCTCTGGCGTGGTGGTCCAAAATACTGAAAAGACGAGCCGTCGATTTGCTCGTCGACCAACTTTTAAGCTATAATAGGACTGGCGGCACACGATGGTGTGTTTTGGGGACGGTTCACTGTCACCCGTTCAGAGTTTTGGAAAAAATTTAAAACCATCGTACCAAGGGTTGTTGGCGGCTTTTCACCGACGGAGGGACAAGTGCGACGTCGAGATGGTGATGGTCGACGAATATATGACCACTCAGGCATGTTCACTCTGCTACGAAAAAATGCTATACCACCAAAACATAAGGATGAGAAGGACGGACAAAGACGTTACGACCACCGGTTCCAGCTTTACCGAAAGTGTGGGATCACATGGAACCGGGACGTCAACGCCGCTCGAAATATCATTTATGTTTGTAATAAGTTTATTGATTATCGTCAAATATATAATTATAACAATGTATCTATAACAATAGCCGGAAGAGGTAACGTCGTTTGGCCGGCGGATTCGCGTTTATGAAAATAAATGCGTTATCGTAACTCTGAGAGACACGGTGGGACATATTGTGACCCATCGTGCAGCAAAGAGTTAGCTCTGCATGTTATTGTCAAATTTCATCCAAACTGCAAAATTAAAAGATACACTAATAATATTGTTTGTTAATTATTGTTATTAATATACCTATTTAAAAATATATTCTATTTTTATACAAAATATAAATATACAACTTAAAAGTACCCTATAAAGTGTAAGGTTCAATATAATGTGTGTATCTTAAAAGTTAAAATAGAAAGATAAAATCGACATGCTAAGTCTAGTATTTACCCATGCTATACTACTATACACTTATAAAAAAAGTACCATGAATCATGATGCATATTATGTCCAACTCATAAGTCATGCTCAATCCTCATCACAGCATTCAGTAGGTATGCAAAACGCAAAATTCAAATCAATTATGATTGGACATATTATTATATATTTTGAACTGTTGAAGGCTTTTTTATCTACCTTCTGATTCTAATTCAGTGTCGGTGGTACGAGCGGGTTATTATCTTACGATTTATGACTTGGGAAAATTGTCTCATAGCTAAAATGTGGCGGTGGTCGCCACTGGTCAGTGGCCAGTAGGTGTATTAAAGTATCTATAGTGAGCAAACTATTAGGTAGTAGTTACCTATGTGGCCTTGTGGCTATGTATTTATATATAAAATGTAACATTGAATAATATAAGTACCTATAGTATACCTACTATAAAAATATAGTTTGGATTAGAATTTAGATGGTAATTAATAATAGAGTCAATTTCGATTTAGTTAGTTGTTATATTTTGACTTGCTGTGTTGACACGGTCCTTTACTTACCGAGACTTTTCTTTCCGTCCGTTGCCACACTGCCACTGCCCACGCAAATACGCGATACCGAACGTCACCGAAAAGCGACGTGCGACCAGATCGGCAAGGTTCCGCTGAGACGGGCGACGGGGCGTTGCCTTTGCACGGGCCATCTATCGCCGCCTAAGGTCGACACACAATGGTCGACTAGAGTCTAGTTTATGTGTTATTTTCTTAAGTTAGGTGTTCTGGTCGCATCCGACCACAATTGCCTGAAAGCTGAAACATGAGGCTGTGGTGGGCGGTGGCCGGACGAAGCACTAATCCTTCAAAAATGTTTTTCATCTAAACTTATAACATTTTAAAACCATGATATTATATTATTTTTGAATGTATAATAAAACACCCTCGTTTGTTTCACCACGATGTTTTATTCCATAACTGTTCTCTTTTGAATAACCAATAAACCATCATCATTCTTCAACAAATCGTCCACTCTACCACATCATAGCATGCGATCATACACAAATAACACGAATTTTAACTTAACAGTTTTAACTAAGGTATATCTAAGTACCTACAAGTTACAACAATGAAACTTTACAATAATTTTTAACGCAGGGACGCAATGTCTCATCGGCCATCGCTAACCAAAATACATTATCTATAATCTAATAAATTATGTTCTAATTCAATAGGTACTACAATGTTATATTCAAACTTTACAATAATAAATAACTAACATTTTACGGAAATTATCTCATATAATGTATAGGTTTGGTTTTTCACTCTATTTAAATACACATTACAATATTAGTAGGTATTATATAAGTTATAATCCTTTGCCATAAAACATATTTGCCTAATGTTATTTATTATATATTTAATGACTCTATACTCTTTTCAGAATAAGAAGGAACCAGGCGGCCACGGACAAAACCGGTTTTGTTACGTAAATCTGGTGCGTTCTTATTCTGAAAAGAGTATAGACACCTAATGAACAGCAGATCGTTACCAACTTACTATTATTTGTAATCTATAATATTGTTCAATTTTGATTGAAAGTTTGTTGTAACTTGGTACTTATTTACGTTTTTAAAACAAAATAAAACATATTAATATTTTATAAACAATCTATACATGTTTTAAATTTTCCCCAACAATTTTTGTTATTTTCCCTTTAAATTGTGTAGCATCCCGTGCCCTATTTATAGTATGATAAGACAGCAAATAGTTTACTTTACAATGTACAGTAAACAGTTAAACTAAGCAGTGCTGTAATAAGAATATAACATACTTACAATTAGTAGGCATATAAATACAAATATAGGTGTTTTAAGATATCTAGGTACATACATTTAAGAAAACCAACTTTTCTTTACAAATATTTAATATATTACAAATATAGAGTCACCAATAGTGGCGTATTTAGAAATGCTTAAATGCTTAATATCGAGGGAGGCGCGTCAGGCTTCGTATTAATTTCATACAGGGTGATTTTCTAAGCATACTCACACTATTTTTATGTTTAAATTATACTATATAAAGTTTATACTTGTAGCGTATTCCACGTTTTCATTATTATGATTTTAGTCGTTATGGCACCTAAAAGAAAATACCTGTTTCGTGACGAGTTTTCTGAAACTTAGAGTTTTATAATAAGAGGTAGAAATTAATTTGAAAAATAATAATATTTTTGATAATTAAAAAAAAGTATTAATTTTATAATTTTTAATTTATTAAACAATAAATATAATTTTCGAACAATTTTTTACTATTTTTCCATGGTAAATAGGTGTACAAAATAATGTGTCATTACTCATTGTTTTTAATACATAGGTAGGTATCAAACATTATTCAATTATATTATTTTTATTTTTTGCTATGTCCTGGATTAATTGCTTGACGAAATTATGTAAACCCTAACTTACCGTATAAAAAGTATGTATGTAAGTATACTAATTACGGTGAATGGAGGAGGCACCTTCCTATTGTGTCCCTCCTCCTTAAATACGCACCACTATAGTCACCGAATAAGGAGAAATAAACAATACATTATTTAAAATACAATCATTTTTATGTCAGACGTTATAGGTACATATTTACCTATCGGTATACGATATACATAGTGTTTTTAAATGATAAGTAGTCAGTATAATCTTGGTTAAATTAATTTAGTAATAACTAATAACTAATAATTGTATCTTATAAATTATCTTTGATACACAATATTTTGTATCTAAGATACCAATACACAAATTTTTTTTTCAAGTGTCTAGATACTGATCTTGATAAATATTTTTACATAGTTCACGATTAAAATATGTTTAAGCTCATAAATTTCAATTAAAAAATATTTTAATAAATAATTAAAATAATAGATGCTCAAGCTTGGTTAAAATTTAAATATTGAAATATCTAAATACGAAACCGATACCTAAGCTAACATCACCATTCGCTATATAATTCGTATGTGTTAACAATAACAGTTAGTTTTTATTCAAATTTAATACCTTCAAAAATAATTAGAAATGTACTTTAAAAGGTTTTACGAAGTACCACTTATTTAATTTAGCAACGATGATGATATAGGTTATTAAAATGATAAAATGAATATTATTCTTTGAATTGTCATTCAAAATATTTGAATATGACATTATCAGATTATTCAACTGTGCAAATTATTCAAATATTGTTCAAATAAATTACGTCATTCAATTGTTAATTTTATAATTAAAAATATATATTTGTATCTAAATACAATAGAAACCGAAAATCTATACTTTTTATTTATACACAAGTTGTATTTAGAAACGAAAGACAAAAAGAGCGTACAAAGGAAGCAGAGGATATGGATGCATTTGTATAAAACGCTTACTAGCTGATTTCCATAATAGTATAATAATACAGTTAGTTTTTTATTTTAGAATAAAATATAGATACCAGAAAAAATTATAAGGTTTTGAATTAAATAGGTACAATACTACAATTTATAAAAGATATTGTATAAATAATATTATATATTATTAAAAGAAAATCCCTCCACGAAGTTTTGAATTATTCACTTAATGGAACT